CTGGGCCAGAGCAGCCCGTGCTCTGTCGCCACCGTGCGGCCCGAACGGCACATGACGCCTCAACGGCCGCGGGGACCGGCGTTGGGCTTGAATTGGTAACGTGGAGACGAGGGTCTCTTCGCCCCCGGGGTTGTGGGCTCCCTCAGGCCACAAACGGACCCACCTTTTCCACCTTTCACCACTGACCCGTCCCTGGGCCAGCAGCTCAGCCCTGGCACACAGGGGGCACTCCCTAAATGTTTGTTGATTGAGTAAATGACAGGACCCCAAATAACTGAGTTTTTCCTTTACTCACACCAGAGCTGGCCTTGGCCAAAGGTGACACAGGACAACTTGAACACCCCTCTCCATGAGAATTTTGCCACTGTCCCCAGTAGCAGAAAGGGCTCCAGCTCATTGGCTTTTTCTTAAATGTTTATTTTTGAGAGAGAGCGAGCACGCGGGGAAGGGCAGACAGAGGGAGACCCAAAATCCCAAGCAGGCTCCAGGCTCGGAGCTCCAAGCTGTCAGCACAGAGCCCGACGCGGGGCTCGAACCCACAAACTGTGAGATCATGACCTGGGCCGAAGTCAGATGTTTAAACGACTGAGCCGCGCGGGCGCCCCGCGAGACGAGGAGGCAGAACAAGGTGCCATGGTGAAGGACACAGGGGCCAGGTCCCAGGACAAGTTCTGAAAGCCAAGCAATGAATGTCGTCTGACTGTAAAAATACATCTGATTACTCTCCTATCTGCAGAGAGAGGTTGAGATTTGCCGGTGGAGAAAATCTGACCTATTTACATGTATCAATTGGGAGCTGAAAACCATTTTCAACCACTTCAGGCAGGAGATGACGGCCGATGTCAATCCTAATCATGGAACCTCGAACACAGTTTTGGTTCCGAACACGTGTTGGAAATCGTCTTGGGGATACACCCAGGGGTGGGCTTCCTGGGCCATACGGTAATCCTGTGTTTAACTTATGGAGGAACCAGCAGCGGGGTTTTTGTGATTGAAGCCTTTACTGAGGCCACTGCAGAGTCACCTGCGGTTGTGAGAAATGCCGCTGAGAAACTCCCTTGTGCACTTGGTCCGGTTCTCCGTGATGGTCACATTTTACAAATCGATAGTCAGTATCTCCACCCGGATATTGTCGTTGATACAATCACCTCCCTTATTTCAATTCACTTGTTTTCATTCTACTCGCACTCACCTGTGTGGTATGGCATCGCCCACAAGTTCACCAGCTGGGGAAATCCGTGCGTCCACCCCGCAAGTGTCCCCCCCCTCCCCCCGTAACCCTGGCAACCACTCATCTGTCCCCCATTCCTAAGATGTTGTCACTTCATAAACGTTGTATCAGGAGGCTCTTGTTCTCCGTGACCTGTCTGCGATGGTATGTTCTCACTCGCAGGCTCTCGGGAGTCACCAGGATTTTAAAACTTCCCCGTTTGGCAGGGGGACAGGTGGACATGCCTCCAGCCACACTTTTCTCCCAGCAGTTACATACCGAGGTCACCCGCGTGCCTCAGTTTCCTCGTCTGGTAAGTGGGGGAGAGAACCCCCGACCCCAAGCCGAGTTACGTGGATTAGAGCAAGCGGGGCACGCGAGGCCGGCGTCCGGGACCTGGCCCCTGCGAAGCTTTATGACGTCACACGCGGTTGCCACAGCAGCAGCCAATCACATCTGCCCGGCTGCGCGGGGGCCCGGCCCCGCCCCGCCTGCTGCTGGTTGGAGGAGGCGTCGCATCGCGCGCTCCCACAGACCAATGGGAACGTGGTCCAGAGGCAGGGCGCGGGGGAAGCCAAGTTCCCTGCATCCTTCGGAGCATCCATTCTCTCGGTGGCTTCCTCTTAACAAAATAAGAAAGAAAGAAAGGCCCGGCCTGGCACGCATTCGCTGCCTCTTCCTGAAGCTCCGACCCTTGCAAGCGCCCACCAAAGGGAGGCTAATGATTTTATTTCTTGAGGTGCCCTGTTACCCTGTCTGAAGAAGACTCCAGAAACTCGCAGCGTGGGAGCCCGGGTTGGGGGGGGGGGGCTCCCTGCCCCTCCTGCAGTTCGCACCCTCCGGCTGAGAGCTGGTCTGGGAGGTCACCCAGATACTGGGTGGTGTGGGCCGGCTGCTCGCTGAGCCGGCGCCGCTGTGGGGCCGCAGACGGGCGCGGGCAGGCACTGAGGGCAGGGCACTGTGCAAGACGGGCAGCTACATGCTGAGGGTGCCGGGTCCCGGGCTGGGTCCAAAGCGTGTTTCGCTACCGCCGAGTGGTAGCAAATCGGCACAAAGCCGAGTGACCCGAAGCAGTGAAATACACTTGTCTTTTTCCTTCATCATTTCTGGAATTCGGGAAGTGGGAAGGGGTCCAGATGCGTGGTTCTGGCTCGGGGTCTCTCACGAGGTTCTGGTCACAGGCGGGCTGGGGCTGCCTGGTCCGAGGGGCTCAGCTGGGGCCCGAGGACCCGCTCCCAGGCGGCCGGCCGGGGCTGCTGGTGGGAGGCTCGGGCCTCTGCACGGCGCTGTCTGAGCACCATCAGGTCACAGGGGTGAGGACGCGGAGCCAGCGACCCCAGAGAGCGCCAGGCAGACACCTGTATCTTTTGTGACCCAAGGGTGTGGATAGCAAGACCCTGGGGCTGCTGAGTGCCGGCGAGGAGGCCACCCCCAGAAGACCGTCTGTTGACCGGAGACACACCAGGGCGAAGCAACACGACCGGGGAAGGCCGGCATCCCCTCCCCTCCTCGCGGACCCCTCTGGCTCCTTCCAGGTGATCCGGCTGGGGGCGGGGCAGCCACGTAGCCCAGGCCTGGCCAGTTAGGCTTCGACCTGGGACTTCTGCCTGCATTGATGGGAGAGTCTGGCTGACACATTTCCCCCACTTGGCCTCAGAGCCTGCTAACGAGCGAAGTCAACACAGAAGTTCGTAGCACAAGAGACGGAGAAAGGGAGAGAGGGGCAGAAGGAGTCCTTGGCCTGCGTCCGACTCCCCACCATTTCGGCACTGGAAGCCGGTCCTTTGTGTGAGGAGGGGTTTCTGTCATGTGTAACACGAAGCCACCCACAGGTGAATGGCACAATCACAATGTGCCCACCACGCACGGCACGTCCCTCGGCCGCGAGCAGGAGCGAGGCGCCCACCCCCACTGCCCCGCGGACGGACCCCGAACACACGACGCTCAGGGAGGGAACCCGACACGAGAGGCCACGCGGGGAGTGAGTCCGCGTGTGTGAAACGTCCGGAACGGGCTCATCCATGGACGGGAAGGGGGCTCGTGAGGGGGAGGTGGCTGCTAATGGGGGTGGAGTTTCCTCTTGTGCTCATGGAATGTTCTGGAACTAGATGGAAGTGGTGGTTGCATAACATTATGAATGCACTCAACGCCACTGAGTTGTACACTTTAAGTTTATTATTTATTTTATTTTAAGAGAGAGAAACAGACTCCCAAGCAGGCTCCCCACTGTCAGCACAAAGCCCGGCCACATGGGGCTTGATCTCAAGAACCACGAGATCACGACCTGAGCCGAAGTCTAGAGTCAGACACTTAGCCGACTGAGCCACGCGGGTGGCCCTGAGTTATGCACTTTAAAGTGGTTAACGGGGTGGGGAAAAAATACAAAAAATAAAATAAAATAAATAAAATGGTTAATGGCACGGCGCCTGGGTGGGTCAGTCGGTTGAGCGCCCGACTTCAGCTCAGGCTATGATCTCACGGTGTGAGGGTTCGAGCCCCGCGTCGGACTCTGGGCTGACGGCTCCGAGCCTGGAGCCTGCTTCCGATTCTGTGTCTCCCTCTCTCTCTCAGCCCCTCCCCTGCTCACACACACACACTCTCTCTCAAAAATAAACATGAAAAAATTTTTAAAAATGGTTAATTGCATGTTATGTAAATTTCATGTCCATACTACTACCAAAAGGGCAAAAACCGCAGGATGTTTATATCCAGTGTTTTCTGTCTTCCTTCTGCCAGTTCCTCTCCCACCCACAGCCCCTTCCTCCCAGGTTCTCCCAGGGCTCTTCAGCTCCCGCCCCTCTTGTACACGAGTTTCTCCTCCCACGTCAGGCCACACCAAGGCATGCGGCCTCCCCACCTCCCTCGGCCCCGAAGAGCCAGCTTTCCCTCGTCCCTCCCTTGCACTGGCAGCGGGCGGGAGGCGGGCCTTCACACGCAGGCGCAGAAATGCATCCAGGCACATGGTTGAGGGAAAAGGCAAGGGCACACTGATGGTTTCCTTCTTCACTGGGGAAACCCGAGTGCCGGTGCCCCCGCGACCTCCCCAGGAAGGCGGCCGCTGTGCCAGTTTGCAACTTGTCACAAGTAGATGGCATCCACGTTACACTTTTGGAATCGACAGTAAGTGGCTCAGCAGGGACAGCTTGCAGGGTGCCCGGGGGCCGCTCTGGTCCCAGGGGCGCCCGCAGCACAGGGGAGTCCTGAGCGGGGCTGCGATCTGCCTGGGAGGCACCCCCAACCCCCTGTCCTCTCTCCTGACGGACATGACATGACGTGGGTGCCAGCCGAGGGACAATGACAACGATGGCGGTGGGCAAGGTGCTGCATGGGCACCGGAAGCCACCCCTCCCCCACAATGTTGCTTTTCATCTTCACTGTTTGCTTCCCTGATTCCAATAAAATTAAGCATCAGGCCTGTGAATACTTCAGTTTCTCTAAAGCAGGGTCTCTCCCAGGCACTGGGGGACTTAGGGGCATCCGGGTACCTGGGGACGGGGCAGCACCCTGGCCCCACCCCCTTGATGCAGGATCGCCCCCACCCATCCCCCTCCCACGTGACAGCTGCCGACCCCACACCTCCCCTGGGGGCAGGACCGCCCCCACCAAGGACTCTCTAAAGGCTGAGGGCATTTTAAAAAACAAAACTATATGGGGCGCCTGGGTGGCTCAGTGGGTTAAGTGTCTGACTTCGGCTCAGGTCATGACCTCACGGTTTGTGGGTTCGAGCCCCACGTGGGGCTCCGTGCTGACAGCTCGGATCCTGGAGCCTGCTTCGGATTTTGTGTCCCCCTCTCTCTCTGCCCCTGCCCTGCTCACACTCTCTCAAAAATAAATAAAAACTTTAAAAAAATAAAAAAAGTCTCCCAGCAGTCGGCGTCAGGGAGCAGCCGGCCTCCCCAAGCCTCCAGTCTCAAAATCTCAGCCGTCCCTGGGCTGTTTGTTGGCCGGCCAGTCCTTTCTGGAATTCGTGTCTCTGTGAGAATAGGCTGCATGTAGCTCTCAGTCGTCGGCCAGCCCTGGGAGCACATGTCCCCTGGCTGTCACAAGACGCCTTCCCTGCAGAGCAGGGGCCACCGACTTCCCTGCCCGGCCACTGAGCAAAGGTCACACGCTTTCAGCTCTCGGGTCATGGCACAGCCGCTCTGGTGTGAGTTTCTGTGTTGGCGGAGATCTGTGCCAGGAAGAGGATTGAGCCCAGGGCAGGCTGGTCTAAATGTCCCCTCCACTTACAGGCCACGAGGCATCTAACGCCCCCAGAGAGGCGGACGGCAGGCTAGGGAGTCAACTTTTCTTTAATGAAAAAAAGGACAAAGACGCACAAAAGTCTGGGTTGAACAGTCATGACACAAAGCGAGCCCCCCGGCCCCCCCCCCCCACCACCATGCTGTCCCCAGGGACACCCCTCTGGGGAACCAGAGCCTGAACGGAGCCCGGGCCCCGGCCTTAGACGCTCTGCAGCATGTGAAGAGCGTGGAGAAGGCGCTGCCGGGTGGCCGGGGCGCAGCTGGGGCTCCGCAGGGCGCCCAGGGCGTGCGTGGTGCTGCGCTGGCCGCGTTCCCGGACCGTGAGCCGCAGCTCCCGGCCCTGGCCGCTCAGGACCAGGTGAGCCTGGTCTCCGAGGCAGCTCACCTGCCAAGGGGAGAGGAGCGAGGTCAGGAGAGAGGGCCCCCCGGGCCTACCCCCTGCCCTGGCATGAACAGGGCAGGTGGAAGGAGGCTGAGAGCCGCCTGCCTGGGTCTCAGCGGCCGACCCCCACCCCCCCTCCAGGAGCTCAGGGAGCAAGCCCGGGGGGCCTACTGCACCGACGGGACAACAAGACTCAGATGGGGACTCCCCTTCCCACGGCCACCCAGTGAGACCCCTGCTCTTAAGCCTGTGACCCGGGTGAACTGGCCTCCCCAGCTGCGGCCCCGCCTGGGTCAGTGCGAACGTGCTAGCCCCACTCTAGTCTGAACAGGCGGGGAGGGGTTCCTGGAAAATAAAATCATAATTTTTACAAATAACAAGGAAAGCAGGGGTGCATGGGGGGCTCAGTCGGTTGAGCGTCCGACTTCGGCTCAGGTCACGATCTCGCGGTTCGCGGGTTCGAGCCCCGCGTCGGGCTCTGTGCGGACAGCTCGGAGCCTGGAGCTGCTTCAGATTCTGTGTCTCCCTCTCTCTCTCTGCCCCTCCCCTGCTCATGCTCTGTCCGTCAAAAATATAATAAAACCTTAAAAAATTTTTAAAAATAATAACAACGAAAGCCCTGTCTGGGCCGTCGGACTGGGGGCTGGCTAGGATGTGTCAGACTGACGTCACCATGACCGCTCGGGAAAGCCTCAATCTAGAAATGACTTTCTGGGGAGATGACATTGTGGCAGCTGCGAACGCCACCCGTGGAGATGACCCCAAATCACGCTGCCCCGGCACGGACACACGTTTTCGGTTTCGCGGTGTTTGCACTTAGAGGTCAACATGCCCCGCTGCCCCTGGCCGCACCCTCAACAGTGCCTGACGGCCCAGGGGCCTGGGGCTGCCCCGCGGAGGCCACCGAGGACGAGAGCCACCCTGTGCACTCACCTGCAGTGTCCCGTCGCTGAAAAGCAGGAGCAAAGCCCGGTCCGACACGAGGAAGCGCAGCAGGCAGTGGCCGGGGGCCGTCGGGGGGGTGGGCACGGGCCGGCCCTCCTCCTGCGGACAGACCCAGCCTTGCGGGCCTCGGGCTGGCCATGTCCCCAGCGGCCCGGCCCCGCCCCGTCCGGCCCTTACCTCCTGCAGCCGCTGCTGCATGTATCGGGCCAAGAGCCGGAGGACGGCCAGCTTGGCGCCCAGCGGGCTGGGCGCGTCCCTCGGGGCGAACGTGTCCAGCTTCCCCCGCGCGGACGTGTAGCAGACCCGGCTGGAGAGGGGGTACAGGGCGGTGCTGGCTGCCACAGCCTCGATCCTGGGCACCTGAGGCCCGAGGACACCTTCCCACCAGCCACACCCCCTGGGATGGGGATCTGGAGACCAGCTCCTCACGGCCCCTCTAGCCACACCTGCAGCCCTGGCCACTCGCCGGAGCCGTGGACCCAGCACGTCCCTACTGAGATCCTGACCCGCCCCCAAACCCACCCCTCTGCCATCTTCCCATCCTGCCTCAGGGCTGCTCCCGCCTTCCTGCCCTCCCCTCCCACCCCCCCACCCCGCCACGGCCTGTCCCTACCTGACCAGACCAGTCCAACTGTCTCCCTGCTGAGTCTCTAGGTCACTCCTGCCGTGAAGGTCATGTCAAACATGACCTGTTCCAACCACGGCTCGAAGGTCACTGACTTCACAGCCTCCCTGTCCCCCCATCTCACTTTTCCTCAAACCCACTGCGCTGGGACCCATGTCAGGAGCTTTGCACATGCTGTTCCCCGTGCCTCAGATGCTGTTCCTGACAGGCTCCTTCCCATCTTTCAGGTCTCGCCTGAATGTCACTTCTTCAGAAAGCCCCTCCACAACCAGGTTGTAGAAGGTCACCTCCACCCCCACCCCCTGCAAAGTGGTCAGGCAGGAAGGGCTTACAGATGCGCAGAGCAGGCCCTATTTTAATAAATACTTGCAGAATGAATAAGGAAAGGTGGGGGGGGCACAGGAGCCCCAAAACTTACTCCCCCGGGGGGCGCAGGGCCATGTGCGTGCCGTCCCGAAACAGGACACCGCTGCCCCCATCCGACAGCTGATAGCCGAAGCCGTACTTGCTGGAATAATCCACCCACGTGGGGGCCCAGAGGACCGGCTGCTGCCCTCCCGGGGGGTCCTGTGGGGCTGGGTGCAAAGAAGGGAGCTGAGCAAGGGGGTCTCAGCGGGGCCTGGTGGGAGGGCGGGGGAGGCGCAGGACGCGTAGAGGAAAGTGCAGAGCGGGGGGAGGACGGGGCTGGGGCACACGGACACTACAGGCTTTCCTTTATTTCATTAAAAAAAAAAAATTGTGTTAAACACAAACTGCTCGGTGGCTTATGGAATCCCGGATGGGATCCTGGGAGAAAAAGGGCATTAGTGAGAACACGGGAAATCCAGCGGCCCCGGGAAGCTGGCTGAGCCGCACTGGGCGCTCTCCGGGCTGCCTTCGCTGAAAATCTCAAATCATCTTCCACTGTTTACTGAAGACATTTGAACACGAGTTGGCTCCACCGATGGAAGAGCCTTAAAGTCTAGGGTCCTTCTGTGCTACAGCCGCGAGGAGGAGGGCGAGGAAGAGGGCGTGAGACCGAAGACTAAGCAGAACCCACCGGATCCTACGGGAAAGAAAAAGCTCCGAGGACAGTGACCAAGGAGGGGCAGGACGCGGTGGGTGCTGGTGGGGGTCGAGGTGGGGAGTGCATGGGGTGGGCATCACTGTGCTCTGAAGCCTCTCTCAGCTCGGTCCCCGCAGCAGAGCCCCAGAAATACCGGCAGGACCCTGGACAGAACAAGGCGCTTGTCTTCGGATGTGAAGAGGCAGGTGGCCCGGGTGAGTCCGCGGGGCTCCTACCTGGGAGGCTGGGATCCAGACAGAGCAGCAAGTTCCTGATGGCCGCCTCTACCTCCTGCCTCCGGCTCCCCTTGGGCCCTGGGGAGACAGATCTATGTGGGGGGGCGTGGAGGGAGGACAGGCCTGGCCCCCCACCACGAGGGGCCCCTCCCACCAGCCCCGCCCCCAACTCTCAAATCTGGATAAACCTTATTTTGATCCCAGAATGATTCTGAACATCGTTCCCATTTTACAGGAGGGAAAGGTGAGGCCAAGAGAGGGGCGGTGACCCTGGCGAGGGCCAGTCACCGCCCCCCACCTCTCTACCCTCACTCCCCACCAGCAGCCCCCGCCTAGGATGGAGTGACTGCTCACCGGCTGGGTCACTCCGGAGGGTCCCGTGGGTGAGCAGGTAGACGGGGACTGTGGAGCGGGGAGCCTCTGTGCCCAACAGGGAGGCCTGGGGAGGAAGCAGCAGGGGTGAGGGGAGGCCCTGGGCCCCCAGGAGGGCCCTGAGGTGGGGGAGGGGCTCCAGCCTCGTGGCTCTGAAGCCCCTCCCCCCGTAAGAATGCGTCCCACGCGCCTCCAAGTGCGCGCTGCCCCGAGCCCTCACCTCACCGCCCCACTCCGTGGAGTCAGGATCTGAACCACCTCCTCCTGAATCCGAGGCCTCGTTAGGAGTGCAGGGGCCTGGGGGAACGCAAGGAGTTTGGGGGGGCACAGCCCGGCCCCCCGTGCAGCAGGGGGGTATCCGCCACCCACATCCGCCTCTGCCACGGATGGGAAGGTGCGGAGGAGTGGAAAGGACCCACGGCCAGGCGAGGGTGGGTGCAGGCGGCCGGGAGCAGGGGAGGCGGGCCGGGAGCAGGGGAGGCGGGCGGGTGCAGTACTCACAGGGGGGCCGGCACTGGGCCAGCAGCAGCTGGCCCACCTTCCGGACGAGCCTGCGCAGAGGCTGGGGCATGGTAAAGATGGGTGGGCTGTGGCAGGAGCGGGCCGGGAGCCGGTCCGGGGTGAAGCCCTTTGGAGGCGGGCACCGGGGGTCAGCACCGGGCGCGGGCTGCCCGGCCCCGGGGCCTCGGCACCCCCGCTGGACCCCACGCACCTGTGTGAAGAAGTCATCCCGCAACAGGCGGTCCAGGCTGGGCCGCTCCGCGGGGTCGGGCGCCAGCAGGCGGGCGATGAGGCGGCGCGCGTTGGGGGACAGGTGGGCAGGCTCGGGGTAGCGGCCGGCTCTGATGTTCTGGTACATCTCCGACAGGGGAGCCGCCGTGAAGGGAGGGGCCCCGGTCAGCGCTGTGTACCTGCCCCGGGGGCGGGGGTGGGGGGTAGGGGTGGGAGGGTGGGGCAGGGGCCTGGGTGCCCAGGCTTGGCGTGCCCCTACCCACACCCCCCTGCTCCGGACGGGCTTCGCGTCCGCTTTCCCGCACCTGCCCCACACCCGCTCCCACCTGGCCGGTCCCGTCCACTCGGCTGACGCCAACGTCTGTCTGCACGCCCGCCTGCGCGGGTTCCACTCCCGGTACCTCACGACCGCGGACCTACCCGCATCTGCCCGCGTGCACCGGCACACGCCCGTCCACACCTCCGTGCCGGCTCGAACCCGTGTTCCCTCCCACGTGCCCTATGCACACCCGCACACGCGCACGGCTCCCACCGGCCCCGCGCCCGCCCACGCCTGTCCACACGTGTCCTAGGCTCGCTCACGCCTGCCTGTCCCCATTCGCCCTCCCCCCTACATCCTCACACCTGTCCTCGCCTGCCCCTGCCCTCTTCCCCAGGCCCGGGGCTCCCCGGGACCCACTCACATGATGCAGCCGAGAGCCCAGATGTCTGACTGGCAGGAGTGTCCACTCCCGGAGATGACCTCCGGGGCCAGGAAGTTTGGGGTCCCGCAGAGCACTCTGGGAGGGATGATGACGCGGGCTCGGGAACGCTGGGGCCCGCGTGCCAGACCGGCCCCGCCCGCGCCCTCGCGCCCTCCGTGTACCTGTGGCAGCGGCCCCCCGGCCCCACCCTGGCAGCCAGCCCCAGGTCTCCAATCTTTAGCACCATGTTCTTGTTCAGGAAGAAGTTACCTGCCAGAGGTGGGGGGCAACGGGGTATGAGGGCGGAGGCCACGCCCCCCCGCGCCCCTCCCCCCCGCGCCCCTCCCCCCACTCACTGGGCTTCAGGTCGCGGTGCACAATGCGCCGCTGGTGCAGGTAGCACAGGCCGCTGACCAGGCCCCGCAGGTAGTAGCGCACCTCGGGCTCCGTCAGGGTCTGCCGCGCCTCCAGAACGTGGGCCAGTGACTGCAGGTGACCGCGGGCAGCAGTGGCATGGAGGATGCACAGGTGGCACAGGTGGGCACAGGTGAGCAAAGGTGGGCACAGGAGGGCACAGGTGGGCACAGGAGGGCACAGGTGAGCACAGGAGGGCACAGGTGGGCACAGGTAGGCACGGGTGAGCACAGGTGGGCACGGGTGAGCACAGGTGGGCACAGGTGAGCACAGGAGGGCACAGGCAGGCACGGGTGAGCACAGGCGGGCACAGGTGAGCACAGGAGGGCACAGGTGAGCACAGGAGGGCACAGGATAGACACAGGCGGGCACAGCTGTGCTCAGGGGGGCTGGATCGAGTTAAGGTGGTCCTACATGGCCACAGATGAAGAGATGGGCCAGATGAATAAACGGGCACAAGTGGACACAAGTGAGTCCTGGTGTGCAGAAGTGAGTCACCCGAGCCTAGGTGGGCACTGGTGCATAATGGACGAGCACAGACGCGTCTGGTGCAGACACAGTAGAGACAGGTAAGTACAGAGACACACAGGTGGGCGAGGGGAGCACCACAAACATGGGGGGGCGGGGCGCGGTGCAGGCTCCCTCTCCCCCCCCCCCCCCCCGGGGGGCACCTGGTGGCTGCAGTACTCCAGCACCATGTACACGTGGTCGCGGTCAGCAAAGTGTCCGTGGAAGGCTACAATGTTTCGGTGTCGCAGGCGGCTGTGCAGGGCGATCTCACGTTCCACCTGCAGGCGTGGCCCCACCTGACCCCTAGTACTCGGGCCCAGGGGCGTACACCCTCACCCCCAAGGGCAGGAACCTGTCTGGCGCCCCCCTGCGAGCGAAGGTCTGGGCCTACCTTCCCCCGGGTGCGGAGCCGCCCGGCCCCGCCCCCACCACGAGGCACCACCTTGAGGGCAAACACCGCGCTGGTGGACATGTCCATCAGCTTGTAGCAGCGGCTGAAGGCACCCTGCAGCGGAGAGGTGCCCGGCTCAGCGGCCAAGTGTGCGCAGGTGTGCGGACAGGTGACCAGGCCTCTTCACGTGCACAGACACACAGACAACAGGAGACGCACGGACACACAGCTCACACCCTCAGACCCGCACAGGCAACCCCCCGAGCATGCAGGAAAACGCAGGGACGCGTCCCCAGACGTATCCAGATCTGGAAACACCCAGCCAGCGGACCACAATATAGCATATGGACACACGCAGACGCGGAAGCACATTCAGACGCGCGCCTGGAGACAACACGACAGAGTTCTTGCAGAGGCACGGAGCCCTGGAACACTCGAGCGCTCACCCACAGCCCCGGACAGACGGCCGACCTACGGGCACCGCACAGGACGCCAAAGAGCGGTTCCCGCCACAGCGCACGCGGTGCAGGGGTACGCCACAGACGCGGCCGCGCAACCCTCGCAAGCCCAAAGCCAAACCCCAAACTCGCGCGGACACACGACACACGCAGAAGGAAAACCCGGGGACTCGCCGGGGCTCGCGATCGCGCGCGCACACCCCTCCCCGCCCCGCCGGGACCCCCGCGCGGCCCCGGACCCTCGCCGCGCACTCGTGGTGCCGGGCGTGCCGCACCTTGCCGATCAGCTTTCCGCGCCTGTAGACGCGCCCGGAGTTCGGGTCGCGCAGGAAGACGGAGACCGGCGGGCGGCAACTGTGCCGCCGCCGCCGCCGCCCGGGTTCCATCCCGCCGGGAGCCTGGCGGGCGCTCGGCGCGGGCACTGGCGCAGCCTCAGCGGGACCACCGCGCGGCTGCTCCCGGGGCTGCGCGCCGCTGGGGCGCGTCTTATTGGCTGAGGGGGCGGGGAGGGGGCGTGGCCCGACGCTCGGGGCGTGGCCAGGCGCCGGCGGGGGCAGGTGTGCGCGGTGATGGGGGGGGCGCACGGGGACACCGGGCTGGAGGGAGTTTCAGTGATGAGACAGGAGCTCGCGCCCGGCGCGACAGCCCTGCGCCAATCCGGTGCGATCAGCCGGCTCGCTGCTGTTCCAAGCCTGCGCCTCCCGCCAGGCTGTGAAGTGTTAACGTGCCCATTGCCCTGAGCAGGAAACTGAGGTCAGAGAGATCGTCTCCTCTCGGAGGCCTTTCCAGGGAGAGGCGACTGGAAGCGAGGGCTTGACGGGGCTCTCGTGGCACTGGGAGCCGTGGCAGGATTCAGAGGAGGAGAAAGAAAACCAGTATCTCTGGGGCTGGAGCTGGTTGGAAAGGGAGTGAGGCCTGGGGCAGGGACCCAGGAGGGGGGCCCCGCTGGGGGTTAGGGGTACCATATATTCAGGGCGCTAGGCAGCGAGGAGGAACAGAATCTGGGGACCCAAGAGCAGACAAGGGTTTGTGACTCCCGGCACGGGCGGCCAAGGGGAGACAGGTGAAAGGGCTAGTGGGCTGTCTGGGACCCTCCTGGGAACCGGCGGGGACATCTCCGAGCCACACCTCAGACTCAGTTCCAAGCTCTTTCCTTGTGTTCTTTCGTGTACTCTTACGTAAGTCCTGGGACACGGGAACCGGCCCTGTTCCCATTTTACAGGTGAGCACACTGAGGCCTGGGGATGTCGTTGCTTTGCTTACACAGCCAGGAAGGGACAGTCCTGGGTTTGAGTCCAAGCGGCTGCCTCTGGATGCCACAGTACTAATCCCCAAATGTTACATAACACAACGAATGGGGAGGGGTTAGCAGGGCTCCCTGTGGCTGGAATCGGGCCTTGGAATTTTCCAGAGACCAGATTTCGGAATGTGGCCCGGTCACGATGCCAGGGACAGGATACACCTTCTGAGCTGTCACATGTCCACCCGGGGTGTCAAACGGGGATAACAAAGGCACGAGGGACCCTCGGGGGGCCCCAGTGCCTAGGACAGAGTAAGACTCGGGTACTTTTGTGGGGGGACCGGCCTCCGTGCCAGGCCAGGGTTTCGGGCCACCACCGGGGAGCCCGGTGGCTGCATCCAGGGAGCCTAAGTTTGCTGCCGATGGGAACCAGGTGCAGCGTGACAGAAGGTGGGTGGCTGGGGGGCCATGGGCCTGGGCCATCGTGTCGCTGTCACCCTGAAATCTGTTCTGTCTCGGCAGCACACCGCCATCTGGGTGTTAATTCAGGTATTTGTTAAGCGCCTACTTATCAGCCTGCAGAACCCGCCCTGGGCTCCGAATGCCCAAGTCAGACACGCCTGGTCCTCCTAGACTGACCGCCAGGAGATCACCCAGGCTGCACCACGGCGGGGGGGTGGGGGGTCAGGGGGGGCTTCCAGAGGCAAATGTGTGTAAGCCCATCCTTGGGTACAGGCTCTTCTTAGCCCCATATTACAGGTCAGAAAACTGAGACTCGGGAGGGCAGACGCAAGCCAGGATGACTGGTGTCCAGAGCCCTGTCCGCACCCCGCGTCATCCCCCTACCCTCCTGCCCCGGTGGCCCTGGGAGCTCTGAGGGGGCAGGTGGCTGGGCCCTCCGGACCCCCGTCTTCCTGGCTGAGCGTCCACCACGGGGCCCGGGGGGGGGGGGGGCGGCGGGGAGGGAACCTCCCATGCTCCGCCTCCCCTCAGCAGCGACCCTCTCCCCTGCCCCTCCGAAACGAAGAGACATTACAATAAAACAAAGCACATAAACGCGTCCGCTGGCATAGGACGGATAAACACAGCGCGTCCATCCACACGCCGGAGTCTCGTCCAGACTCGGAAAGTTAGGACGTCCTGCCGCCTGCCACCGTGTGGACGGACCCGAGGACACTGCGCGGTGACAGGAGCCGGGCACAGAGGGACGCGTCCCGCGTGACCCCCTAGAGGAGTCCCGTCCACAGAGACAGAGAGTGGATGGCAGGGGGCGGGGAGTCGTGCTTCATGGGGGCAGGGTCTCAGTCTGGGGAGATGGAAGGTTCTGGAGGCGGACGGCGGGGGCGGCTGCGCGACAGTGTGAGTGCGCTCGATGCCACTGCCACTGGAAGGTGGTTGAGACGGTAAGGCCACGCCACGTTCGACCCCCCCTCCCCCCGCCACGCTCCCACAGAGCGAGGACGGCATCAGGGGCTCACCAACATCCGGTTTTCCAGATGCGCGCACGAGGCGGCTCGCCAGGCAGAGGACTGCGGATTGCAGAGGGGTGGCTGCCCCCCCACGCTGACCCCTGCCCAGGCGCCGGAGGCTGAGGTGGTCACGGGCGGGCACCTGGCCTGGCCGCCCCCGCCCGGGAGCCACCGCGCTCCGGCCACAGGCCTGCTTTCCCTCCCGTCTGTTCCTTCGCTGACCTGAGATAACTCCCCGGACTCAGCACATTTCCCGGGAGAAGTAAAGGGACAGCACCGCACAGGGCACCTGCGGTGGGTGGAGGGGGGCCGCGGAGACGGCCCCCAGCGGTGAGGCGCCCGAGGGAGGCTCAAGGGACTGGGCACGGGGTGAAACGTGGCACAGTCAGCTCTGCAAGGTGCCCGAGGCGGGGGAGCGTGAGGCTCGGATCCCTTCCCGGCCTTTGAGAGGCCGCGGGCTCCGTGCCTGTCCTGTGAGCACGCACCCCCCCCCCCCGCGGGGGCCGGGGGGGGCCCGCCCGGGGGGGCACGCCGGGGGCGCCGCGCGGGCCCCGACGGGGGGGGAGGGGAGACCCGGCCCCCCCCCCCCCACCCCAGGACCCGACTTTGTCCTTGCCTCTCCCAGCCTCATGTGCATCGCTGGCTCCTTCTAGAAGCGCCGTCCTCGCTTGTCCTCCCAGACACCCGTCCGCGGGCTTCTTTCCCTGCTTGCTTCCCAATCTTTTCCGGGGTCCTCTGAGGCTGCTCTTCCTCCCCTCACCACCTGCAGCTGAGGCCGCCGTACCCTGTCCTCACTCCCTCTCGATGACATTGTCCAGACCAGCAGGACACTGAAGCGGGAGGCTTGTCTCTCCTCCCACATCTCAGTCTGGACTCGGCCAAACACGGAGCCTGAAGCAAGGGTTTGGTGCAGCGGGTTGGTCCCGAGAGCAGGAGTGAGGGGCCAGGGAGGATGGCGCAGGGCGGGCCCTGGTAACCACTGTGGGCCCCTGAGGAACTGGGCAGGACATTCCTCAGGACTATCTACCTGAGAGGAAGACGAGGGAGCATCAACCCCCTGGCCTCCCTGTTGGCCCAAGACCCCATACCAAGCGCATCCCAACCTCAGGGCCTTTGCATACGCCGTGCTTTGTGCTCATGACGCCCCCCAGTCCTGAGTCTTCTCCCAGCAGCTCCTTCTCCTCTGCTAGCAGCTAGGAGGCCACCTCCACCCCGTGATTCCCTCTGTGGTCCTTCACAACTTGAAATTATGCACGTCCTTGCAGTTCTGCTGGTTCCCGTCCCACCAGATTGGACGTGTCACACGAAGACACGGGTCTGTGTCTGACCCTGCCGTGTGCCCCATGGGTGCCGACCTGCCGGGTGGCCCCACGCAAGCGCAGACCCTCTCCAGACTGCCCGGGACCCTGCCTGAGGCGGGCGTGCCCTCGGGGTCCTCAGGGGGCGCTGTCCCTGCAGGGGGACACTTTCCCTGGTGTCCTCTCTGGATGCGGCCTCGACCTCTATTCAGGGACATTGGTTGACTCCGGCTGTGAGCGAGGTGCTGTTTGAGTGTCAGAGCCGGCCAGATTTCTAGAGGCATAATCCGTATTTTATCTGCCCGGGTCTTTTTTTTTTTTTTTTCTTTTTTAACCAATTACGAGAAAAATAGCTCATTGTCATGTGGGATCCTGGACGAGATCCTGGAACAGAAAAAGGGAATCAGTTTCAGAAAAGAATACAACAACAACACATAGAGAACTCCAAATAAAAGGTGGAGTTTGGTCAGTAGTCACGGCAATTACTGATGTCATCGATCGGTGATAGCAACACTCCAATATCGGTGTCTGAGTTGCGACAAGAGTGCTTGTCTCCTAGGGTTTCTGTAACAAATTACCACACGTTTGGTGGCTTTAAAAAGAATCACACGTTTATCAACCTCACGTTGTGGAGCCAGAAGCCCTAGTGCCCGGGCGTGGGCAGGGCTGGTTCCCCCCCGGAGCCCCAGGGAGCCCCCTCTCCCCCCTTTTCCGGCTTCCAGAGGCCTCGCATCCTGGGCCCGCGGCCCCTCCTCATCCTCAAGGCCAGCAGTGCGGGGTCTGCCCGGCTCTCTGCCTCCCTCTCGTGACGACGCCGGGTCCCCCGGGCACCCAGGGTCACCCCCGCCTCAGGGGCCTTGACAAGGTCCCCTCTGCCGCATGAGGGGACACGTCTGCAGGTTCTGAGGACGAGGACAGGGACCTCTTGGGGCGGTGGATTATATCACCGATGAGAAAGGGTAGACAGAAACTCTCACATCTTTGCAACTTTCTGTAAATGTAAAATTATTCCAAAATACAACTTTTCTTTTTTTTTTTTTTTTCAACGTTTATTTTTTATTTTTTGGGGGACAGAGAGAGACAGAGCATGAACGGGGGAGGGGCAGAGAGAGAGGGAGACACAGAATCGGAAACAGGCTCCAGGCTCCGAGCCATCAGCCCAGAGCCCGACGCGGGGCTTGAACCCACGGACCGCGAGATCGTGACCTGAGCCGAGGTCGGATGCTCAACCGACTGAGCCCCCCGGGCGCCCCTGAAATAAAAATGCTCTTAAAGAAATCAGAATCAGAAGCAGGAACGCAGTCACCCGTAACCCTGCCCGGAGATCATCGTGGGCGACACGAGGGGTTTATTCCGTTCCGCTTCCTGTCAGAGTTTATGTGCCGGGGATATTCTCTTCTGTAAATGGCACCACATCGTGCGTAACTTTCTTGATTTGAGGCGAACACCTTAGATGACAGGCCATGTGTGAGTAACCTCCCCCCCCCCCCCCCCCCCCCCCCCGCCCCCACCGCCACCCCGTCCAGCTGCACAGGCCTCCCCGCCAGGCGTCCTCGCCCTGGGCCCCCAGCCACCTGGCCTTTGCTGGGAGCACCCTCTCCAGGTCCTGCCTCGAGTGTCCCCAAGCCCCCCTCCCACCACTCCCTCACCCATTCAGATGTGGGGACCCTGCTGCGTGCAGTTCGGTCCCTCCACACCTCAGTGTCCCGACCCATTGAGTGGGGTGAGGATTCATCTCGGGGCGCTCCAGAGACCCAGAGTTCTGGAGCACGGGTGGCAGGAACCCCCCCACCCCATCTCCGCAGGAGGCTGAAGTGCCCTGGGGACCACGTGGCCAGGTCCGAGGGATCACAGGAGGCCAGGGGGAGTTGGGGGGGGGGGGGGGTGGTGCACCAGGAGGCCACGAAGGCCGCTCATGGGCACTTCCTAAGCCACAAGGTCACAAGGCCTCAGAGGTAGCAGAGCCCAGCCGACCCACATCCGCAGGACCGGTGTCCCCTCTGCCTCAGGGACGGCCCGGGCTAGAGCTCAGGGTGCGGGACCGCACGGATCGCCCCCCTATTGGAGGTCGAGGCCGGGGCACCGGGAGGGGCGGGGGAGGGGCCGAGATGCCGCCGCACCTGGAGTCTGAACCTCGCGGCCACCCCTCCACCTGCGCGAGGTTCCCGCCCGAGCTCTTGGCCTCCTTCCCTGGGAATCTGCCGAGTCCGGCCCAGCGGCCGCCGGGGCGCGGAGGCGGGAGGCTGGGGCCCGGGGAGCAGAGGCAGGGGCGCGGGCCCAGGACACCGTATCTGCACCCCATCCCCACCCGGCGCCGTGAGCGGCGTCTCCCCAGGCGCTAGGCCCCCGTGCAGGGCAGAGCACCGGCTGCGTACCCTCCCTGCGGGCCACGGGGGCTGCTGTATGCGCGCTGCGGAGCGGAAGACGCACCTCCGAGGGAGGGCGCTTGTCCACTAGGGGGAGCTGCGGGACCAAACCCGCTTTACTTCCGACGCCCGCCGGGCCCCGGGCCCCAGCTCACGCCCGCAGTAGGCGTCCCCCACTCCTGCTGTCCTCTCTCAGCCCCCGTCCAACCACGCTTCACCTCACCGAGTCACTGAGTGCCTCCGGCAGCGCTGATCCCCTGGTCCGCCCTCCTTCCGCCCAGAGGCTCCCTGTCCCTCGGCCCCTAGCACCGCCCCCCCCCCCCGGGGCCCCTGGGACGCAGGCCCCAGTCTCCGTTCAGTCCTCGCTCACGCCCCGTGACCTCATCCGTGACTCTAGACGTCCCGCCGTGCCAAGGACGCCCACACGTCCTGCAGGACACAGCCCCTGCTCTCCCATACTCTTCTTGGTTGACCCCCAGACGTGTCCCCCCACACCCATCCGGAAGTGACCTCTGGACCTGCCCTCCCCACTCCCACCCTCCCGCAGCAAATGGGCACCTCCCTTCCCAGCAGCTCTGGCCAAGCTCCCGCCTCACCTCTTCCCGACGGGGCTCCTGTGGGAGCCTATACGCTCCACTCCCCGACAGCTGCGCGTCCCCCCTCACCTCCACCCTGCACGCCCGCACAACCCCGGTCCCCGCAGGAGGCGGCTGCCTCTTCGCTGCTTTCCTGCCCCCAGAGCAGCCAGGGGTGGCTTCTCCCAAGCTAAGGCACGACTCCCACCGCTCTGGCCTCCACCCCTTGGCCCCTCTCTGACCTCCCCCCACCCCACCCCCCACCCCGCCCTCCTGATTGTCCCTTTTTCTCTCATTCTAGCCTCCGGGGCTCTGCACGCGCTGTTTCCTCTGCCTGGGCTGCCCCCTCCTCCTGGTGATCACCTCTTGGGCGAGGGCCTCCCTCCAACCCCATCTGCAGGGGGCCTGGGACACTTCTCTGTGTCCTGATCAAGAGGTAGGATTGCCTGGTTAGCAGGGCTGTTCCCGGCTCCCCCCTGCGCATAGTACATGCTCAGTAAACACTGCCTGAACAGATGGCCTTGAGCGGCCCTGCCCTGAGCCCCTCCAGGCTGGTGGGCAGACAGAGCTGGACCGGCACCCCCGTCCCTGTGGTCAGGGCCGGACACCCCACAGCCAGCTTCCAGGAGGGGGGGGGCAATCAAGCTGAGCGTGGGCTTGCCCAGCGACCAGGGGGGCAGGCTGTTCATCGACCCCTCGGTGGCCCCATCTTCTCGAACCTGTCAGGAAGCCTCACGGGCAACAGCAAGGAGGCAGGGGAGGGGTGAGCACAGGGCCCCTGCTGCCTCCCTGCGTGGGCAGGGTGAGAGGTCAGTGTGCCCATGCTAAGCTGGGAAAGGGGGGGGGGGTGATGAGGAGCCCTAGGGGGACCCTGTCCTTGCCAGTCCCCGGAAACAGCTGAGGTCCACTTGGAAGTGTCTCGGTGAGGAACCCTGCGGACCCCACTGTCCGGATGGGAAAATAAGTCATGGGGCGGGGGCACGCCCCTGTGCGAGAGGGTCTGGTTCCAAATCGCTGCTCAGCCTGGGAGGGCGGAAGGCAGGGTGGGGCACGTCCTCTGGTGACAGCAGTGCCCGGGAATGCTCCTGGAGGGCCTGGAAGGGGGCTCTCCGCCCCCCACGCCCGGCCCCTCGAGCTGAGCTTCTCCCAGTGCATTGGGGCCCTGCTCTGGGGTGGCCGGGACCCGGAGTGGGAGCCTCAGGATTGCAGCCGGGCGCGCGGGTTCCTCAGTAGGGTAACCTTGAGGGAGGCTTCGGGGGGAGGACCAGGGGAGGGAGGTACTGACCGGGAATGGGGACCCGCGCGGGGACGCGATCTGGGCGTCGGTGGAAACGGGACAGCGTCCCGGACTCCCGGAACCACGGCAGGGCCACCTCGGTTCTCGCACATTCCCGGGCCCTGAGCGCGACGCCCGGAATAGCAGCCCCGGGGTGGGGGGGCGGGGGATAGAGGCGGTCGGTTCCCTCACGTCTCCCCCGCCCCGGGGCTTTCCAAGGTCACCGGGATACGGACTCTGGAACACCAGGCCGTGGTCTGAGGCGCCGGCGCCCGCGCGGGGCAGTCCCCTGCCGTAGATCCGCGCCGAGGCGCGCAACCGCCGCGCGAGGGCGCACGGGGCTGCCCCTCCGCGGGACCCCGGCCTGGGCGCGCCCTGGGAGGCCGGGTGGGAGGGGCTGCTCCTGGCTCCCCCCGCCCCTCCCCGCGGGCCCCGCCGCTTCCGCCTGTCCTGCGGCCGCCCGGGGAGCCGGGACGTGCCGCCTGGGCTCTCCGTAGCCGGTAAGTCCCTCTTCCTATCCCCCCACAATCCCGGCCGGCGTCTCCTCCCCGTCCCCGGGCCCGGGCCGGTGAGGGGCTGGCCTGGCAGCGATCCCAGGGTGGGAGAGAGCTCATCCCCGCCCCCTCCTGGGGAAACTGAGGCCTAGAGGTGTGGCTTGCTCCGGGATCACACCTGCAGGCTGGGGCGCGGCCAAAACGGGATGTGTCATACTCCTCCGGGAGGGTTCTCTGGGGAGCAGAAAAATGGCGCTTCTAGCACCGGGTTTGGACTCCCACCCCAGGGGCTAGCGCTCGGTGTGTGTGGTGCGAGGGGGCTGCGTGTGAAAAGGCCAAGCCCCCCCCCCCCCCCATCTGAGCTCTCCTAGGCCAGCCCGGACTCGGGCTTCAGAGGGGCACAGATACAGCCGGCTACACAGCTCTGGGCAGAGAAGGGCCCTGCCCAGTGGTCCCCAAGGTTCTCAGCACCCGGGGCCACCATGCGTCCCAGCGCCTGATGCCCCAGGTCCGAATGTCAGAGCCTGAGAACCAGGGAAACTGAGGCTGGAGAGGGTCCAGAGTCCACTGGTACAGGACCAGGGCTGGAAACTCAGGGCTGGAAAAGTCCAGCTGGTTCTTTCAGTCCTTGGGGGACCCTGGCCCTGGCCTGAGAAAGGACTCACGGGTGGCCGCTTCCCTCCGCCTTTCTCTGGCAATGCCATGGTCACGAGGAGGGTGTGGATGGCAAGGGACTTCACCCTTTCTTTGACAGATGGGGAAACTGAGGCCCTGGCAGACAAGTCTACCCCCCCAGAGGCCTCCCTCTTTCCTGCACCACCCTCATCAATGGCTCCTTTTCCTCTGCAGGCTGCCCTTGGTGAAGCCCACATCCTCTGCACATGAGGTCACGGGGCCCCGGCAGGACTGGGGCCAGGTCAACCCGCCTTGTGACCCCCAATCCAGGGGCTCCCTGCCACCACAGGTCTGGGAGCCGAGGTGGCCCTGGAGGCCCAGGTGCAGCCAGGGGGCTTCTGCCCGGGACTCAGCCCCCGAGCCAGCCCCGCCAGCCGCACCTTCTCCACAGTCCCTCATACAGCGCTGGACCGAGACCAGCTGATCCCCATTGTACAGATGGGGAAACTGAGGCCTGGGGATGTGGAGTGGCTGGCCCTTGGCCACACAGAAAGGTAGACGCATTGACGGTGGGGAGAGTGGTGGCGGGGTCCCGACACTGGAGATTCCCGTGCACTGTCCTGGAATGATTCCTTCCATAATCAGACACAGATTAAGCACTTGCTGTGTGCATGTAATCAGACGACAAACAATAGCAATAAAAGCAGATAATTCTTTGAGCTCTCCCTCCCCCTCACCGGGCTCTGTGCAGCCTGCTTTTCTTATCTGGTCTGACGGACCCCTCAGACTTTCCTGTAACGGGGGCCCTGTTATTACCCCACTTTTCAGAGACGAGAACAGAGGCCCAGAGAGGTTAAATGACTGCCCCACATCACACAGCCAGTGGGCACAGAGCTGGGGTTCCGACCCCGGCCTGCCGGCGCCCCCACTGCCGCGCCCTCTCTGCTCCCCCACACCCCGCCCCCTCCAGAACCTGCTTCTGCTGTGGACCCTCCTGAACTGTGGTTTAGGGGGCAGTGCCCAGGTAAGGGGGGACACGAGTCCAGGGGGCCAGTGGGCTTGGGGACCTGGCCGGCGGTGTGGGGGCCACTGGCTTCTCTCCAGGCCGATGGTGCCTCTGTCTCCCCAAGTAGGGTCCAGGTGAGTGGACCCCCTGGGGTTCCTGGAGTCGCTGTTCCAGCTCTTGTGGGCGGGGTGTCTCTGTGCGCAGCCGTCGCTGCATCTGGTGAGCGCAGAAAGCTGGGGCTTAGCAGGGTGGGGTGGGAGGGGGGTGCCTGCCCCTCCTCTCCCACCAGCCCGCCCCACTGCTGGCCGCACCCTCTGCCTGCCCACACATGCTGTGCCTTCTAATCCCACTGATCCGGCTGGAATGTGGGTGGGGGCGGCCAGGCCCAAGGGTGGGCAGGCCAGCTCTGGAAAGAGGGTTACTGGGGGTCCTGACCACACTCTGGCCCTCTTGTTCCTTGTAGGCTTCCCGGGTTAGACACATGCTGGGGAGACACCCATGAGTACCGCCTCTGCCATTTGCCGGTAAGTTCTGTCCGCCTCCGGGGCCCTCGGGTGCGCCTTGAAGACTTCCTGCTTCCCCACTCGTGCCCCCCAAATACACCTGCCACCCTGCCAGGCTCTCTGGGCTCCCCTGGGGCTCTCCCAGCCTCGGACCTACCCATCTTTGTCCTCAGGACTGTCCCCCAGGGGCCATTCCATTCCGAGACCTCCAGTGTGCCCTCTACAATGGCCACCCTGTCCTAGGCCCCCAGACGACTTACCAGTGGGTGCCCTTCTACGGTGGTGAGTAGCCTTGCCTCCTGTTGGTCCACAGGAGGCAGGGAGGAGGGGCTGCTGAGAAAGAAAGACGACCGGAGGATTGCAAGAGAACATCAGCACTGGGGCTTTGAAGGATGCATAGGAGTTGAAGTGGAGGGGAAAGCAACACAGGGAGGCAGGGTTTGTTCTGCACGGGGTTGACCACAGCCTGAGGATTTGCGTGGAGCCGTATCCAGAGGCCAACAGTTCTCAAACTTATCCCGGTGGCGGCAGCAATTGTTGTCGCATTTAGCTGAAAATAGCAAGTTATGTAACTGTGTGCCCGGGGCAGTGTGCCTCCACATTTAAGGGAAACAGCTTTAGACACCATAGTGGAAGCAGATACAGATAAGAAAAGCTGACGATGGAGAAGATTCCATCGGTCAGCCTCGTGGGTGTTTTGGGTTTTTTGTGTGTGTTTTTCCCCCCTAAGAA